TTTACATAAATTCAAAGAGATTTTAGAAATAATCTACATTGTTTATCATTTTTAGTTAGATTTATTTTATTCGACATTCTCAAAAATTTATTAGAAATTTTTATTAATTTGACAATAAAAAGGTATATATTTTAAACTAAAAATAAAAAAAGAAATAAAAAAAATGGTCATTATATGTAAAAAAAATTAATTAAATAAGTTGTGAATATGGTATAATAGTTAAATTATTTGGATTGGGGAATTTGTTGAGTTAGAAAGTTGGTAATGTTGAAGATATTACCCATTGTATCTATTAAACAAAAAAATATTCATATTTACATTTTTTTTATTAAAAGTTCTTTTTGCAAAAGTTTTATTTGAAAAAAAAAACGATTCCTTTTTTAGATTAGTTAAGTATTTTTATCACAATCTTCAATTCAAAACTTTTTTACTAAGTTAAAATAAGAAAATGATATCCTTTTTAAGATAAATCACTTTTTAAGAATGACAAATCAAATTGTTGTAAATAGTGATCTGCAAATTCGTAGACATCATTTTTTTTAAAAAAAAATTTGCATACATGTTGTAAATAGTGATCTGCAGACATCGCATACATCATTTAAAAAAAAGTTCAAATAATTATTAATAAAAAATTTAAAAAATTATTAATTATATTTTTTTTGATTAAATAAATCATAAATACTTTTTTGAATTTTTATTTCAAAATTTTTAGAAAAGAGAAAAAATAAATCAAAAAAGGAAGTCCATTTCCTTTTTTATTTTTATAAATATTTTATTTTTTTTATTTTTTCAACGAAAAAAATGTTTTTTTTATGAAAAGAGAAAAAGATCAATCAAAAAAGGAAGGCCATTTCCTTTTTTATTTTTATAAATTATTTTTTATTGGTTTTTTTTCAACGAAAAAAGCGTTTTTTATGAAAAAAAAGAGAAAAAGATAAATCAAAAAAGGAAGGCCATTTCCTTTTTTATTTTTATAAATTATTTTTTTGAATTTTTTTCAACGAAAAAAAGTGTTTTTTTTATAAAAAGAGAAAAAGATCAATCAAAAAAGGAAAACCATTTCCTTTTTTATTTTTATAAATTTTTGTTGATTTTTTTTTTTAACAAAAAAATAAAAGATTTTTACGAAAAGAGAAAAGGGTAAATCAAAAATGGGAAATTATTTCCTTTTCAATCAAAAAAAAATCTAAAAAACGTTAGTTTTGCTATACTTTTATTTTTATTAATGGGTTCCTAGTTTTGCTATACTTTTTAACATATATATAAAATTATCTGAGACCTTTTTTTCCCAATTTGGATTATGGTTAGATTAAAATGCAAAATCTAAACCATAAAAATGCACTAACTAACCCATAAAAACGTACAAATTTTGATTGTTAATGATCTAATGCATTCCAGGATATGATCATCATTTCGGCACAAAAAAATCTATCGAATTATTTGATGTGTTTTAAATATCAAGGAGATAATCATCGTATCAGAATGATCCTCTCAATACGGAGATTCCGAAATGATTTATTTTTCCATTGGGACAAAATGTATAGTATCATCATTTTTATCGCTTGAGTTATCAAAACAATTAACTAAAAAGTAATAATATTCAAGGAGTTATTTCAATTTATTAAAAAATATTATTACATTTTCATTTTGTTTTCAAAATTATATAAATTTTGAAAACTTATACATAAATAAATAGTAAATAATCATCTGTTTAAATATGTAAAACACTTGATAAAAGACACCCGTAACAGATTTAACTAATTACTTAAGCTCATATTTCTTTAAAAATCTTCCGCCCTTCCCAGCTCTTTTCGTGGTTGGTGATAAGGAAATTAATGTAATTTTGAATTTCTTCATAACGCATCAAAAAGATATGCATGTAAAAATTTCAAAAAATTAAGAAAATGTGATTGTACGTATTAAATTTATCTACTGTATTTATTAACATACAAAATTTTAACATAAAATGTTTATTTACAGTTTTATATGGTTCAATTTAGTAGACGGTGCCTGACAATAGAAATAAAACAACAAAATCAAGGAGGTGATAATTTAGAGATGGACGCGTCAAGATTTAGTGATACGTCATAGTGGGTTTATTTTAATTCATTTTGTATTTTTTTACACGTTATTTATATTTTAACACATTTTCTGTAAAAATCTTTTTGGATTTAATATTTTTACTTTTATTTTAATTTGTTTTAATAAATTTCATATATCTATTTATTAAAATTTATTATTTACCGCGTATAAATTTAATGATCGGCAATGATCGGCAAATTAGGAATGTTTCATGTTTCATTAGTGCTTCAAAATTATTATTTAATGAAAATCATTTCGGTCCTACCATTATATGCGCAATGCTACTATCGGAACAAGCCTTTAATTGTTAAATTCCGATCACTGGTTTCGGATATATTTTAAGTTATCCGAAATCTGACAATCCGGGATCAATCCGTAAACGAATCGAAGCACTACTTGCCATAACACTTAACGAAAATTCTTTTTTTTTTTTCTTATTTAACTAAATACATATGTGAATGTATTAAAATATTAATTTTTTTTTCTCAGTACAATATTAAATATATGATCTTTACTTTTAAACCCATGTTCGGTCCCGTTTAAATAATTCAAATAAATTACTATGATTATTCACATGCAATATCATGATTTTCACGGCTGCACCATGAAATATTCCGTATCCGGAATATAATATTTCCATCAATTTAATAATTCATAAAATTTGGGGGATCATGTTAAACGAACTTTTAAATTGGCAAGGCCTAATTGTGCCGAATGATAGACTGCAAAATTGAAATCATATTGCATCGATCTTTATACAATATATATCATGGAAAGTATCCAAAAATTATAAATTTAAATTTTGGCTTTTTTACCCTTTGTTTTTTTTTTAAAACAAGCTTTTAATCAATCTTTTTTTCAAATGTTTCAAACCATTGTTTTAGGATTTATTTTATTGACAACGCTCTATATTTTAAAGCATCCGCGTGATCCAAAATTGGTAATATATTAACTAATACTAATATTACTATAAATAAAATTTTACTGGAAACGCTCCTTTTCTTAAAAAAAATTTTCTTTTCATTAGAATATGCCACCACTCGTTCGTTATAAAATTCCAATTATTGGACATACGTTTAGATATACGTTTAATTGTGAAAAATTCCTTGGTCAATGCAGAAAAGAGGTTGGTAAAATAGCGCATTAAATTTATTTACTTCATTAATATAAACTTTTTTTTTAAATTACTGTATTAGTATGGTGAAATGTTTAGTTTATATATATGGGGTCGAACAATTACGTTTGTTGGTAAAGTAGTTATCCGTATTTTTTGATTTAACATTTCAGTGATGCGGAATTAATATTATACCATACTTATAGGAAAAGAATATACGCATGAAGTACTCTCAAGAAGTGACGTGTTTGATTTTGGGGTACTGTTTAGAAAAATGATACCTGGTGATGTCATGTATACGAGTATTGATAATTTTGGCGATCTAAGATCTTATGGAAAAATGATTAGAGGATCATCTATTTCAAATAAATTGAATTTATATACTGAACGCATACAAAAATCACTTTATTTGGCCACTCAAAAACACATTGGTGATTGTAATGATCAAAAAGTAATTTATAATATTTATTCTGCGATAACAAAAATTATTTCAGCTTCTATCGCAAATGTTTTTATTGGTGAAGTAAGTAATATTGTGAGATTTTGTTTAAAAAAATATGTTAAAATTTTAAAATTTTCTTTCTGATTTTTTATTTCTTAGGAGGAATCAGAATATGATGATGTTATAAGCACTTTCGCGGAATTTACAAAAGATATAGCAGTATTTTTTTTAATTCCTCCAATTTTTGATTTAATTTTTCCGGGTCTTCAAGATTTTGTTAAACGTATTCCAATAAGATTAGGGTTGTATAATCCGGTAACTAGACATGTAAATACGCTTATTAAACATGTTAAACATCAAGTTGATAAGCGTTTAAGAGAGAAACAAAAATATGGTGATTCATGGAAGCGACCTACTGATTTACTTCAAGATTTTATGGAACAAAAAAGTTTTGACCCCAATAATATTAATTATACTGCATTGGCAAGTAATTTAAGCATATTTATTTTTGCTTCAATTCATTCAACATCAAGAGCTTGTGCAAATGTTGTTGTGGATTTAGCATCTCGACCTGAGTATATGCAAGAATTGTATGAAGAACAATTGGAAATTCATAAAAAGACTGATGAAAATGGTATACTTCCATTTGAATCACTTAAAGAAATGAAAAATTTAGATAGTTTTATTAGAGAATCATTAAGATTTACCGGAGATGTAGCTGCACTTCCACATTGGGTATTAAAAGATCACACATTTTCTAATGGATTGCAAGTACCAAAAGGTCATGTAGTTGATATTTATTCTTACGATACTTATCATGATGAATCACTACAAGGTCCAAATCCAACATCATTTGAACCACATAGACATAACGTTCCAGCATCAAAAGTTGGTAGAAATTTCCTGACATTTGGAGGTGGTAAACATATGTAAGAATAATATTCAACTTAATTATTTTTGAAACAAATATAAAATATCAATCTAATTAAATATCATAAATTATTTAGGTGCCCTGGAAGATTTCTTGCTATAAATGAAATTAAATTTTTTATGCATAATGCTATTTTAAATTATAATATCCGTACAGAAAGTGGTAAAATTGAGGATAAATTCAGGTTAGGTCCTGTAGCACTCCCAAGTAATAATGGAATCATTTTCGAGAAGAGGGCTAAATGAATTAAATATTATTTATGTTAATTTTAATTTTTTCATTCTGTAACTATCTATATATTTTTATTCCGCATCTGTATATTTTTTATTCTGCATCTATATATCATTTATTCCGCATCTATACATCATTTATTCTGCATCTATAGTATATCTTTATTCATGTTTATGCTTATTCTATATGTAACAAGCTTGCTTAACTGATTTTAACTTTTATAATTTGTTCATGGAGAATTTTGAGGCGCAGTTAATTTAATGCAATTTAATATACACGGAATTTTTATTTTATTTTATTTCTTTATTGTCTTTAATAAAGACTTACAAACTTGGTATAGAAACTATATGATTAGCATAAACCAGAATAATAGTTCTTCAAACTGTTTTCAATATCTAATTATTTGTATTGTCAATAAACACATGGACTGTTTCTTCTTTTTCTATCGAATTAGTCTAATTACATTTGGCTTTATACAGTATCTCTCTTCAAAAATTCGAGACGTTTAGATTAGCCCGTATAAATAACTGATAATTTTAAATTGTGCAATGCATAATGCATCTGCGCCAGGTCTATCATGATTTCACTTTGCGAATGCCAACCATATCATAATTCATATTCATATTCATTCATATATATTATATATTATATATTATATATTATTATTATTATTATTATTATTATGGGTTTAAAATTTGTGCGCATGTGCGCACCCCACGTGACTTATTAAAATTAGTTAAATTCTTTACTGAAACCCATGAAATCGGGGCTTTGTAGTATCCATATTGCCACCACTTACATAGTAGGCGTACGGCTACTTTATGTTATTTTCAACGCGATATTAAATATTTAATATAGACAAATGTATAGAAGTGATACAGTAGTTATGAAGCAACTATATAGGAAATGTAAAAGTAAATATACAGTATTGCTAATTTAAAGTAAACATATAGATAATACAAAGGTGCTATGTAATAAAGTTGTAGTAAATATACGTTAAATGTAAAGTAAATTCATGTATTCTTCGCATTGTAAATATATATTCTATAAGTAATATTAAATAATTAATGTTCTCCGAAAGTATAACAAATTTAAAATATAAAAAATGAACGAACTTAAGTGTTAATTTGATCATGGTACGAAATAAACAAAAAATAATCTCATTATTTATTATTATACTATTACCTGTATTAATTAAACAGCTGCGAAAAAAAATTCGTTTTTTAAATAATGATTATTTTCCAGAAAATGATCAGATTCCTTGCATCTTGCGTTACAATCATGTACAAAATACGCCTTCTGAACTTTATTTATGACCGTCAATGGAAATATCTTGCAATAATAATCATCGTGACGAAGGACGAAGATTGGACAATCCAATTTGTTGTGTTTCTTATAGGTATCTTCAAACCAATCGACATAAATAAATGGATAATAATATCCATCATTGTTCTGGTGTTTAAAAATACCTTTGATAACCGCATAACTTTCCCCATAATCAACCTCTTTAATCGTCACTATATCGCCCTTATTCAAATGACATTGGATTTCGACATTTTGCACAACTTGGATGTAAGATACATATTCGTAAAAATTACAAGCCTTATTAATCAATGATGCGTGATATCCAAAACTTTTATATGCAAGAGCCAAATCAGAATGAAACGAAATTGTATTAATTCCAATATTCGTGTTGCGAATTGATGCTGGCTTTCTTAATACTATATTCCGAAACTCACTAGATTGTAAACATACTAATAAAAAATGTTAGAATGTATATACTTTAACTATATAAAGAAATTAATATTACCTTCTAGTTTTTCGTTATTCATTTCTGAATTTTCCATAATAAACCAATCTTTGAATAAGCTATCAGAATTTTGAGATAATTTCATAAATTCAACACTAGATCGTAAATTTTAAGGATCAATTCCACCATCTACAAAATACCGAATAGATTGTAAGGTTTAGTTGTATACCGTTTTAATAAGTCTAATTCAATATTCTTGAAATTTGTATGTGGAACTATGTTTTTAAAGATACGATGGACCATTTCTTTTATTCCGACTGCCGTATTTGTAAGAGTACTGAATGTTCTTGCATGTCGCAATAAATGGTAATTAGCGTGAAGGTTAGGGAGATCCATGAATTCATTGGATAACTGTAATAAGTATAAATAAGTATAACATAGTCATAGTTAGTAGAACTAAATCCAAATTACCCAAATGTAAGGAATTTATTCTTTTTCAGTTTCAAAGGCCTAATAAAATTGAAATTTATAATATTTTTTTTTTTGTAACAACTATAAATTTTACCTCAATCAATGCTTTTCGTTCTTTATTCAAATAATTTTCAAGCTCTATATAGTCATTCTTTGTTAACGAAATCTTAAATGCCAACTGGGAATATTTAGCTACAGTTGCCCAGCACTTGATAATATTAGAAATTACTTGATTGCGATTCATGTTTGTTTGCTCTTGTAGTTTTTCTATTTCTTGTGGCTTTAAACAATTAATGGTCAGCGATCTATTTAAAATAAATGGCTTTACCATTCCCAATCGAAGTCGATCAGACATCATAAAAGTTTCGATATGACTAATAGGATTTGGAAGCTTTGACCATTGACGAGGGTATTCGAATGATTTCCAGACACTAATAAAATTTCTTTCATCTTCTGGAGATAACATGGAAATTGTTACTTTTAGTAGTTTTAATGTTTGCCCGGCTATTATGTGATAAATATCTTGTGGTGACTGCAAGTGTCATTCACGTTGAAGTTGATCAAGAATTGGCAATCAAGTTTGTAAACCGTATTCCTTTGCAATATTGTTTTGTTGCCTAAGAGTTGAAGCTGTGAAGATCTTTTTGAATTGGGAGTCAGTAATATGGTGATAACGGGATACACTGGCAATATCTAATATAAGATCTGTCAAGTTTTCTTTAGTGACCAGACATATTCTACACCCCCTTATCGCACCATGGCATTTTACACCTGCTAAATCGTTTTCTTGGGGTAGGTCTGCAGTAACGCATCCAAGGCTAGCTATGATCCAGCAATCTATTCCTTGGATGTTCATCAATGTTCCTTTTTCCAACCGCTTCATATCTTTAATGAAAGGACGAATGAAATCCTCAAAACAACCACCGAAGGGAACAAAACCTAAAACAAAATGGTTGCGAACAAAGTTTTCTTATATCAAATGGCATATTTCCCAATTGAACATAAACTCCACTTAAGGAATGGTAAACATTTCAATAGGTACCGAAGTCATTATAGTAGATATCAATAAATATCTTCAAAACTCGTAGATTCCTATATTGTAGTGGTGGTAAACTTAGAACAAAATATTCGCCTGGATGCTTGTAATCTAGCGTCACATTTCGCATTTTCAAATAACTATTACTTTTGTATAAAATTTCTTTAATAAAAATTCCATCAGTAGTATTTGTTTCACGAATAATCATAATATTAACTTTTCTAATGATCTCATAAGTATTTGCAATAATACTACCTTCTTTTAAATATTGATCTACCATTCACAATTGCGATTCCTTCGTAATTGATCGAGAATTAGAGTGAAAATTGTTTGGTAATTCGTTATACATTGTATTTTTACCCGAAGTTCATCATTAACCAATATTATTGATCGTATTCGTCCAAATCTTCGATTACCATTTTCTATATATAAAACAAATTCACTTGGTCAATAAATTTCTAAATACCAAAGAAGTATAAGATAAGTTACATACATTTATTTCATTTACAATAATAATAAATCGAAAGTACCTCCATTGATGGCTATTTTTTCTTGGCCAAACAATGGTGATTCAGCCCAAAGATCCCCATGCCAATATTCCTTTTTTTCTTCAAATTCTATTTCCGGTCCGAAGTATAATGTATTGTAGAGTGACGGATTATTTAATATATTCTGAATAATATCACAAATTGACAAATAATAACAAGACTTTGTTCCTTTAGACGTAAATGGCGTCTTCTTTGGATTTATTCTAACAGGATGCGTCCATATTAAAGCTATAATCGGATTGGTCCTAATCCGACAACCCAGACCGAAAATTCAGATTGGTCCAGTCTGGGTTGATGCTTCAACCCGGACCAAAATATTTGGTCCAGTCCGGTCCGGTTTCGGATTATAAATCTAACCTGGACTGAAAAAACGGGTTGGGACTGAACCGGACTGATAAATATTTTCGCAATGGTTTATATTAAAACCGTTGCGATTATTTAATTATTAAATAAAAAAACGTTGCATAACGTTTTTTTTAACATATTATTATAAAAAAAATGTTTGCGCAACGTTTTTTTAATTAATTTAAAGAAAAAATGTTGCGCAACGTTTTTTCTAAGTATATTTATTAAAAAAAACGTTTGCGCAATGTTTTTCTAATTAGTTTAAAGAAAAAACGTTGCAAAACGTTTTTTCTTATCATATTTAATTAGAAAAAATGTTTGCGCAACATTTTTCTAATTAGTTTAAAGAAAAAACATTGCGCAACATTTTTTCTTATCATATTTAATTAGAAAAAATGTTTGCGTAATGTTTTTCTAATTAGTTTAAAGAAAAAACGTTGCGAAACGTTTTTTCTTATCATATTTAATTAGAAAAAACGTTTTCTAATTAGTTTAAAGAAAAAACGTTGCGAAACGTTTTTTCTTAGGCCAAAGAAATAAAATTATTCGTTTCTCATGAAAAAAATTGCTAAATTTGACCCAGCCGCCCAGAAAAAAAATTATTTTTTAATAAAGATTTAGCCGATTCCTAGAAGTTGATTGGTTGATTTAATAAATTTTTGCCCGGGTCACCGGGTGGAAAAAAAAATTATTTTTTTATGATTATGATTGGTCAAAACTAAAATCACATAACTAAATAAAATATCTTTTTTTAACATTTACATGACCCGCCCGGTTATGAGAAACGAATAATTTTATTTACTTGGCCTTATCATATTTAATTAGAAAAAATGTTTGCGCCACATTTTTCTAATTAACTTAACGAAAAAACGTTGCAAAATGTTTTTTCTAATTATATTTAATTAGAAAAAACGTTTTCGCAACATTTTTTTAATTAACTTAACGAAAAAATGTTGTGAAATGTTTTTTTTAAGTAATTATAATTAAAAAACATTTTCGCAACATTTTTTTATTATAGGACCAGACCAGACCAGACCAAAATAACTGGTCCGGTCCGGTCTGATCCTGGATTCTCCTTTTAATATAAACCGGACCGGACCGAAATGAACTAATTTTTCGGTCTGGTCTTGGGTTACTCTCCAACCCGGACCAATCCGGACCATTTAGAGCTTTATGAAGTACATCCAGATTTTCATTGCAGAAGGATTAAAATCTTTTGTGATCTCTATTTTGATGACTTTGGTACTTTCAGAAACGTCTATCACAGCCTTGGAGGACTTTATCTTCAATTTGGAAACATGAAATTTAAAAGTCATCAAAAATTAAGAAACCACTTTCTAGTTGGATTCGTCCCCTTTAAGGGAAAATTTGAGGATACTATAAAACCTTTTATTCAAGATATTCAGCAACTTGAATGTGGATTTTTAATGACAATTGATAATGAACAAGTATGGGTTTCAGGAGGGCTTGGAATTACTATAGCTGATCTTCCACAAGGGAATGATCTTGCTGGTACTCTTAGACATAATGCAACACATGGGTGTTGAACTTGTAAAGCTTCATGTGATAATTTAACGGATATATCATTTGATATTGCTAAGCATGGACGTTATCATCATTTAACAAATATTGAGTTTGAAAATATACAGCGTTTGCCTAATATGTTACAAAAACATGCCCTTGCAAGTTCATTAGGTTTTGGATTAATTCCAAATCCACTAGATCAATTAATTCGTGATCATCATATTAGTACACCACAGGATATTTTTCATTGCTTTGCAGGTAAAGCAAATAGACTTCTTATTGCAACATTCAGACTTTTGACAAATTCTGGTGAAAATACTTTTACAAGAACATGGAAATTTTTTGAAGTACCATCTTGTTGGTCACGACAGAAAAATCCAATAACACATCTTGCATGTTATTTTATGTCAGATATTTTGCGCCTTACTATGATTATTCCTTTTATTTTATACAGATGTCTTACAACTAACCTTTTGAAACGTGAAGTTTTAACAAATATGAAGGAAAGAATGAATTTACAATCTTATCGTCATGTGATTAATAAGATAATTAAATGCTGGGTTCAATTTTCATTAACAACTCGTATGGTATTTTCAAAAACTCTGATGAAAGTAGATTATGAAACTATACAAAAAATGTTAGAATTAGAGTGCAAAATGCTATTAGAGGTAGTGTAATCTACATTTTATAATAAGATAATTTAATATCTACTAATTTTAGTATATATTTAATAGGTTTTTCCTGAACAATTTAGTGGACTTCCAAATCTTCATATAAACCGGCACATTGTTGCACATGCTAAAACTTATGGAACAGCTTTGAATACATCTGTTTCTGTTAAAGAAATGGTCCATCGAATACATAAAGGGGTTGTATCACATACGAATAAGAAAATGTTGAATTTGATTTAATTAAACGTGATAATACTTTACAAACTTTAAGATATCTTTTAGCAAGATATTCAGTTTGAACATATTATTGGTCAAGGTATTCAAAATATCGTTAATGATGTTGCATTAAGACCTTTATTGAATAGCTGGTATATAATTTCATCACTATTGCCAAAAATATATGATGAAGATGACATTGAAAGTATGTATATCGTTTTTATATTTATTTTTTTATTGTATGGTACGTAATTATCTTACATTTTAACATAATTTTTAATACTATTAATGATTATAGAAGCAAATATAATAACATGTATACCAGAAATAATGGATATTAATGTAAGATTGAAGTGGAATAAATACCAACGCAATCAAGAAAATTTTACTATTGGAAAACATCTTAATGGATACTTATCTAACGAACTTGCTAATGCATATACAGAGTATTATAATGATAGAGGTGCTATGATAAATTCAAAAGTGGAATTTTATAACAATATTTCGTATGTTGTTAAAGAAGATGACTGTTTTGTTGATGTACAATTAAATGTAGGAGATATTGTTGACGTATTTGAAGAAGGTGAAACTGAAGAATCTTATGCTATTATTAAAGGAATTTTTACTCATCATGAACGTTCAAGAAAGTTACATGCATTTGTAATTTTTGACTGGTTTGAAAAAATCAGAGAAAATTCAATGTTAAAATGTCCAAAATATAGATTACAAGCACTCGAAGAAACACAATGGAATAGGGTATTTTCAATATCATTAATTGATCATAATCCAAGAGTTCATTTTGTGCATGATTGTAATGGAGATTGTAATAATGATAAACATGATTTTACAAATCGTTACTATTTGAAAAATATGTATTATTATTTAGCAGTATAATAATAAAATATTGATATTTTAACAATATATTAATAATAATCCATAAAATTGTAAAATGATATCGTAAAATGGTTTTAAATGCATAATTATGGGGATATATTTTATAATATCTTTGTAATTATCGGAAATAGGGGTTTAACGTGATTGTCAGAATAATTTTTTATTATATAAAATATCTTTACAATCTTATTAAAATACAGATTTTAAGCCCTTTTATGATATTATAAAAGCATTACATGATATCTTGAAAAAATTGCTTTGCCCAGTTAAGTAAATACCAGTAGTATGTTTACCAGACATAATTTACTATTTCAATTTTTTATAAATGGCATAAAACTTTTTTTGTCCCATATCCCATATTATTTTTTTTTATTTTATCAATAAATTGACATCGATTGGGCCAGAAAAGGCCGTAGGAAAGAGCACTAAAATTATAGGCTAACTATATTCCGTGTGCGTATTCTGAAACTAACCTTTGCAAAAGTTATCGACGCCTATCTTTCACAGTCCAATTATCAATAACAATTAGAGGGTATCTGTACATGAGAGAAGACCCGTATTTTTCTTTCAACCATAAAGACCGCCACCTGTAAATACTGTTAGAGGTGGAATGGTTCCCACTATTTTAAGTTGTTTTAAATGGGGTAATATATATTGAAACAGGTGTGTAATGACTCCAAAAAATACAAATAAATGAAGAGAGAAAAAGAAAAAAGAAAAAACTATAGTATAGCCAACTGGGAGTTTATATAAAAAAACAGTTGGCGGACTAATATATATAAAAAAAAAGGTATTAAAAGCTAAGGCTCAAGGGCATTAGCGGGAACAGGTAAAAAATCCAGTGATAACTTTAATCTTTTAGTTCGAAGAACTGAGTTATGGAGATTGAGTAGATCCCGAACATCAGAAAGGTAAGCCTTGCATTTTTCAGTTTTGAGTCGACTGGGTGATCAGTTGGTTGAAAGAAGTTAATAAAATAAGAGACAGCGGTGCCATACCAAGCACCGCTATTCTGTATATTTATAGATTTATCGATATAATTGTCATATGTAGACTGGGAGATTGAACCAGTAGCTAAGAACCATTTAGGGGTGTAGGGAATTAGAGGTGGAGAAGCAATCTTTGCAGGAGTGGGAATGGGAACAAGAGTTTCCAAAGTATTAGAGCGTTCACGTCTAAATGCGGTAGGTAATTCCTTGATTAGAGGTCTTGTTTTAACGTTAACAACGTGAGGAGTCTCCCTCAAAATCTGGTGCTGTGGAGTAAAGGATTGTGAGGATGATGCAACAGGTCGGGAGGTTGAAGCTGTGAGTGAGTCATTGTTTAAAAGGTAGATGACCAGGCTGTAAATAAAGTGTCATTAGACAGATCGTTGCACATCGTACGGGTGTAAGATGGTGGTAACGAGATGGGAAAAGAATAATCATCCCAAAATTGAAACTCATCGTGATTTATATTAAATAGATGTTGAATTCTTTTTCTGATGATTTGGTTTCTGTGATACAGCAAACTGTAGCGATTGCCTTATTCGAGTTGTGATTCTATTATAGTCGCAAGTGAGTTTTCGAACAACTTTGTGACTTGACGTTGATGTCTGTGAAGTCTTTCATTTTGTTGACATCTGACTGAAGCGTGGTGACTGAAGTTTGTGTTGAAGTTAAAGAGTTCTTTACGATACATGGAAGTACCCTTGAGACGGTTTGGATGTCTAGCATTATATGCCATATAACGTACACAGTATGAGGTACCTTGTCTGTTGGAACGAACTTCTTTAATTGTTTTATCGTTCNAAGTAGATAAAGGGTGGTCATAGTTCGGCGGTCATAGTTCGGTGTTCCAGGTAAGTAGATAAAGGGTGGTCATAGTTCGGCGGTCATAGTTCGGTGGTCATAGTTCGGTAGCATAGTTCAGTGTTCCAGGTAAGTAGATAAAAGGTGGTCATAGCTTAAATCGGGTTTTGGAGCCTAAGAAGCTAACTAAGGTAGCCATAGTATTATCATAAGTTTTCGAACTGTGGTTAGTACTATAACCAGATATTCTGTCTGATTTTGGCTTTATTCGTGTTTTTATCCACTTTTTAGTAGTCTGGTCATAGTGGTCATAGTGGTCATAGTAGTTTTATATATAAGAAAAAATGGAGAAAAAAAAAGGAGTTGGAAAGTAGTGTGACCAGCCATGACCACTGTGGCCATGGTGGTAGTATATATGGGGATGCCTGAGCCCCGTAGGGGCCATATAGGTACTGTGACGGGTCGTAGACCCGGAGGTGGGTGGTGTTTGCACCTCCCACATCCAGCCCGATGACAGAGGTTGAAGCTGTGAGTGAGTCATTGTTTAAAAGGTAGATAACCAGGCTGTAAATAAAGTGTCATTAAACAGATCGTTGCACATCGTATGGGTGTAAGATGGTGGTAATGAGATGGGAAAAAAATAATCATCCCAAAATTGAAACTCATCGTGATTTATATTAAATAGATATTGAATCCTTTTCCTGGTAATTTGATTTCTGTGATACAGCAAACTGTAGCGATTGTCTTGTTTGAGTTGTGATTCTATTATAATCGCAAGTGAGTTTTTGAACAACTTTGCGACTCAACGTTGATGTCGTTGAAGTCTTTCATTTTGTTGACGTCTGACTGAAGCGTGGTGACTGAAGTTTGTGTTGAAGTTAAAGAGTTCTTTACGATACATGGAAGTACTCTTGAGACGGTTTGGATGTCTAGCATTATATGCCATATAACGTATACAGTATGAGGTACCTTGTCTGTTGGAACGAATTTCTTTAATTGTTTTATCATTCCATCATTTGAAGAGAAATGCCGCGTGATGTAATTTATGAGGTTTCTTAATCTTGTGATTATTCCAAGATTGTAAGTTGTCAGTGGTTGGAGTATCTAATTCTGAAGACCGAATGGTTAATGAAGGTTTAAGTATTTTAGTAAAGCTGTATCGTTCCAAGTGTATCTGATGATTAATACAAGCACGTCTTAAATTGAACATGATAAATGGTGTAGGAACGGCGCACGTAGAATGAATTTGATTAGAAAGATTTTGTCAGGTGATATGATTACACGAGACATAAATCCCAAAGTAAAAATGATAACGTTTGTATGAAAAATTAAAAAATGTTTTTGTTAGTGTTCCAAAAAAAATCTGATCTGATTCGTATCCGTGGATCTGATCTGAAACGGATTGGATCGGATTAGCTTTTTATGATCTGTGATCCGATCTGAATCAAAAAAATTTGATCTGTTTCAGATCGAATCGGATCAGATCAGTTATTCATTCAAATCGGATCGGATCGAATCAGATTCGAACGGATTCAGATCAGATCTAAATCAGATCCAAATCTTAGAAAATAAAAAATGTTTTGCGCAACATTTTTTATTAAGACAATAAAAAACCGTTGTGAAATGGTTATTTTTAGTTAAATAAACCATTTCGCAACAGTTTATATTAAAATAATTTAAAAAACTGTTGCGCAACGGGTTTTTTTAGTTAAATAAACTGTTTCGCAACAGTTTATATTAAAATATTTTAAAAAACCGTTGTGAAACGGTTCTTTTTAATTAAATAAACTGTTGCGAAATGGTTCTTTTTAATTAAATAAACTGTTGCGAAACGGTTCTTTTTAATTAAATAAACCGTTTCG